GATTGCTTGAGCCCAGCAGTTCGAGACCAGCTTGGGCAACATAATGAGACCATGTCTCTACAGGAAAAAAAAAATTAGCTGGGTATGGTGGCACACACATGTAGTCCTGACTACTCTGGAGGCTAAGGTGGGAGGATTGCTTGAGCCCAGGCATTCAAGGCTGCAGTGAGTTGTGATTGTGCCACTGAACTCCAGCCTGGGTGACAGAACCAGACTGTGTTTCTATCAAAAAAAAAAAAAAAAAAAACACTCCATGAAATCTTTGGTTCACATGGTCACACACTGATGCTTAGTTGTTCCTGTATCCCATATGGCCATAGTAGCTTTAATAAGTCTTAAGGCAGTGTTTGCCATCTTTAGAAACCTCCAAGGGAACAAACAGATCCAACAGATCTTGACCTATGGTATGTGTGACTGAACAGTCCCTTTTACTTCTTATTTGTACGTTCTATATCTGTTACATCTGTTTTGGATTGTACATTGTGTTTGGAATGGATTTGCCTTGAATACAAACTAGATAAAAATAGATGGCTGAACGAGTAACTAAAACAAAGTATTTGACATATGAAAGCATATAAAATATTAAGAATTATTCATTACAAAAGTTAGCTGAGTATGGTGGCACGTGCCTCTGATCTTAGCTACTGGGGAGGCTGAGATAGGAGAATCACTTGAACCTGGGAGGCAGAGGTTGCAGTGAGCCATCACTGCACTCCAGCCTGGGCAACAAAGCAAGACTCCATCTCAAAAAAAAGAAATTATTCATTGCTGTTCATAAGCTCATTTGGTAAATGGTAATTGAGTGCCTATGATCCATGTTGTGAGTTATTTACAGTAACTAAATCTTAGGCTTTGTTGTTATATCACTATCATGATTTCTGGTTTCCATAAAAATCAACAACCAAAAGGATACCTTTTTTTTTTTTTTTTTTTTTTTTTAGAGACAGGATTTTGCTGTTACCCAGCCTGGAGTGCAGTGGTGGGATCATAGCTCGCTGCAGCCTTGACTTCTTGTACTCAAGCAATCTTCCCACTTCAGCCTCCTGAGCAGCTGGGACTATAGATGCATGCCATTGCTCCTGGCTAATTTTAAATTTTTAGTGGAGACCACGCCTTGCTATGTTGCCTACACTGGACTTGAACTCCTGGGCTCAAGCAATCCTACCACCTCAGCCTCCCAAAGTGTTGGGATTACGCTGAGCCATGATGCCTGGCCCCAAAGGGATACATTTTGGATAAAGCTTTTTAATAAGCTTGCTTTCCTGATCCTATAAATTTCTTCTAGTTCTCTCTCAATGTCTGGTACCATTCTTCCTCGTTCTTTTTTCCAGTAGGAACAAGCTAATAGTCAAGACTAGCTTTAGAATATATTTCAGACTTCTTGAATTACTTGTGACTTACATTAAGTAAATAAAATATTTAGCAACATAGCCAAATGTGACTATAACACTGGTCATCACAGGAATAAAACCTATATTGTAGCCTTTCCACCCTATGAAAAGAGATTACACATATATTCTCATAAAGCACTTTAATCCATGGTATTATAAAATCTGTGACATAAACCTAGGTAATAGAGGTTTATATTATTTCTTTAGGTCCTGTTCTTAGATTTGCCATTGTTTAGGAGCATTGTAATTACCCCTTTATTGAAATAATAAATGAGTTTATTAGAAAGGATTTATGATATAAACTCTCTATGGAATATGGTTATTCCCATGGCCTTATTTTTTCCCCAAAGGCAGGGTAAACTCCCAGTAGTTGTGTGGGGTAAGAGTCAGAATCAAGAAAGACTATCTACTTAAACCTTTAACAGAGTTATGATGCTTAAAGTAAATCAGGCCCTTGCACAAAGGAAGTCTGGGTTATGATAATGTTCATTTGTTAATTTGATTTAATTTCCAGGAAAATACAATGAAGATATCTTTGTTATCTAACAACGAGTTAATGATAATCTTTTTTTGTTTTTGTTTTTGTTTTGAGACGAAGTTTTTGCCCAGGCTGGAGTCTGCCTCCTGGGTTCAAGTGATTCTCCTGCCTCAGCCTCCTGAGTAGCTGGAATTACAGGCATGTGCCACCATGCCCAGCTAATTTTTTTGTATTTTTAGTAGAGACAGGGTTTCATTATGTTGGCCAGGCTGGTCTCGGACTCCTGACCTCAGGTGATCCACCTGCCTTGCTTGGCCTTCAAAAGTGCTAGGATTACAGGCATGAGCCACCGCCCCCAGCCATTAACGATAACCTTTTTTTTTTTTTTTTTTTTTGAGATGGAATCCCGCTCTGTCACCCAGGCTGGAGTGCAGTGGCGAGATCTGGGCTCACTGCAAGCTCCACCTCTCGGGTTCACACCATTCTGCCTCAGCTTCCCTAGTAGCTGGGACTACAGGCACCCACCACCACGCCCGGCTAATTTTTTTGTATTTTTTTTTTAGGAGAGATAGGGTTTCACTGTGTTAGCCAGGATGGTCTTGATCGCCTGACCTTGTGATCTGCCCGCGTCGGCCTCCCAAAGTGCTGGGATTACAGGTGTGAGCCACTGTGCCTGGCTAATGATAATCGTAAAACAAATCTGAGTGCCTTCATTTTTACTTCCTTCTTTCACTACCTAGTTCTATGACTATCAAGGATTACTGGATCTGATTTGAAAACCAAGAATTTTAGAGCAGATCTCACAAATCTTTGTCAACTCTAATAAACCAAAAAAAAGTAGTTTTTGATTAAGTTTTGAATGGACTTTTCCTCCATAAAAAGTGTAATGAGGCTGGGCATGGTGGCTCATGCCTGTAATGCCAGCACTTAGGGAGGCCAAGGCAGGCGGATCATGA